TGCAAAGACTAATGGCATAATGTTGCTGACCTTCCCTCCGCACTGCAGCCATAAGTTGCAGCCTCTGGATGTAAGCGTATTCGGTCCCTAAAAAAAAACACTACAACAGAGCCTGCAATGATTGGATGACAAACCATCCTGCGACTCCAATCACAATTTATGACATAGGAGAATTACTGGGGACTGCTTTTCCGTTAGCATTTACGCCAAGGAACATTTCCTAAGGGTTCAAAGCAGCAGGAATCTGTCCATTTGATTCCCAAATATTTAGAGAGGAAGATTTTTTAGCTGCAACAGTTACAGATAGACCAGATCCAACTGTTTCAGATACAATCATTGAATCGACAACATTACCCTCAACATCAGTATCAACCACCATAGAAATACCAACCTCACTAACTGACTGTCAACTTATTTCTCCGGAACAAATACGACCATTCCCTAAAGCCCGAATGCGTAAAAATAACAGAAAACCAAGGCAGAAAGGAAAGTCTGCTGTTTTAATGGATACTCCAGTCAAACGGCAATTGGAAGAAGCTGCACAAATGCGTGCAAATAAATCTAAGCCTAAGTCCATTGCCCTAAGAAAAGAAAAGCGTAAAACATTAATAGAGTCCAGTGATGAGAGATCATCAGAAGTAGAGTATGCCGATTCTTCATTGGATATTTCAGAATTATCTTCTGGAGAAGATACGGATGATTTTAACCAGCCCATAACCGTCGATGATTTCGTGCTTGCTATGGTGCACGGAGCTAAGAAAAAGTCTAGCAGGCACTATATTGCCAAAATAATTTCGAAAACGCAAGATGGTTTCAACGTTAAGTGGCTGAAAAAAAAATTTATATTACAGATGAGGAGCTGACCTTCCTTCCTGCATCCGATATTGTTCGAAAATTGCCAACTCCTCTATTTCACGGAGAAACAGGACGATTCGCCAATTTATATTCCTTTCAATTCGATTTTTCCGATTATTCTATTGTTATGTAAACATAGTGTTTTATTAATGTTTAATAGTTGAAATATTCATACAATTTTATCACATAGAAGGTGTATTTTTTCACTAATTTGTGTTTTTTTTATTGTATAATTTTATTGTTATCACGTTTATTTTGTTTATTAATTCCATCTTTCTTAACTAAATATATTATCAAACTAAAAACTAATATTATTGTAGTTTCACTAGTATGTACCCAGTCAACCCCATAGGGTGGCCCAGTTAAACCCATCACTGTGGTTAACTGGGCCACGGGACACATGTCTAAAAAATGCAATATTTACAAGGCCACAGCATATATTAACTAATTCATTTGAATTTATTAGATGGAATATTAATATTCTCATAGTTATGAACAGAAAAAATATTGAAAAGCAGTAATTTGTTGCAATTACATCACCCAAAAAAAAACTGTACCCAGTTAACCTCACTTTACCCTACATATGTATAGATATATCAGTATTTAAAATGAATAAATATAAAATCATAGGAGGTATAAGATAAAGAAAAAATATTATTGCTTTAGTATAATTATAATTTATTAAGTGGTGGTAATAAACTTCACCTTAGAATCACGTTTATTATTACCAGTGTTTTGAAGAGGCTCAGCACTAATACCTAGTTTATCCTGTCAGATAAACATCATTGCTATTTATGCTTTACCCCCCAATTTACACCTACCCCATACTGCAGTAAAAAAAGACTTTACTACAAAGCAGCCAAAACCCAAACTTCACCCAAATTTGTAAAGCATTTATATTTTTGAGAAAATAATATGGATAGTGAGAGTAGTGAATTCAATACCAAGTAATATAAAAAATTTAAAATAAAATAAAATTTATATAAGATAAATATGTAAAATGAAATATAAATAAAGTTTTTTAACAAAAATAACAAACTAAAATAAACTAAAATGTAAATGATAATATAAAATAATAAAAATCATTCTGATAGAAAACGACAAAATACTCAACTACACTACCAATGTGATAGAAAACCACAAAATACTCAACTACACTACCAATAAGTACTAAACTTTATTAAAACTACACTACCAATGTGATAAATTCTGTTAGATAAAACTTTATTAAAAAGTACAACAAATTGCTAAAATAGGTACCTTTTGGATAAATAAACTCAAGCTGATAAGATATAGAAATATATATGAAATTATAAAAACAACATAACCATACAAAGTTTAACACCGCCATAGAAACCTAGATCAAATATTGTTAACCAATAAAAAAAAAAGGTTTCAAATAAAATATAGCAATAACGACGAAAACAGTAAATGAAACCACTACATCGTCAAAAATGACAAGCAAAAAGCTAACATTTTTACATATATATACATGTATATGCATACATACATATATACATAGATATATATACATATATACATACATACACACACAAATGGTTGTCAAAGTAAATATTGAATGTTCCAGTACAAAAGAGTCAAGTAGAAACTGACGTAAAAAATCACGAACCACATCTAGCTGACCCAGCCATTTGTTCAATACATATTTTAAATCTCTCTTCCTAATTTTTTACTTATTACACGTGGACTTGAATTAAAAATAAAAACTGTTAAGCGCATAAAGGACAATATTGATGTTGCTAGAAGTGAAGAGAAGAAACAGATTTGGCTTTAATTCTTGAACAACTGCAAAAAAAACAAAAAAACAGTGAATAAATAAAACAAAATATTTTTTTTAAATAATAATTTAATAAAAAGTTTGTTGTATGAATTTTCTTGAAGTTTTATGCAACATATGTGGTGCTTTTTTCAAAAAATTTAAAAAAATATCTGAAAAGTTACTGTAATATACAATAACTGGAAAAAATTGCATAATTGCATATTTACAATTTTGTAGACAGATTATTTTTATTTTGTACAATTTTGTATTACAGATTATTAATTTTTGTAGACATAATTGCATATTTACAATTTTGTAGACAGATATATAATATTTCCCATAAATAAAATTAGCATTTTTATTTGGTTTTTTTTATAAGAAGAAACTTTTTGAATAAAAAAATTTTTTTTTTTTTGAGTTTTAGAACTTGCTCAAATGTGCAAAAAATGAGTTAAAAAAAAGATTCATAAGTCTAAAAGATGACTTTTGAGGCACATGAGCAACCCCTAAAAGTGGTCCTAATTCAAAATAAAAAAAATTCTACTGATAAAATATCATTCTGTGCAGCAGGTAAGACTTTATGGTACTTTTAATTTTTTCATGACATCAAAATGAAGCAGACTAATATATATATATATATATATATATATATATATATATATATATATATATATATATATATATATATATATATATATATATATATATATATATATATATATATATATATATATAGGCCTGTAGCAACCGGGGAAGGGGGGCAGCAGGGGCATTCGCCCCCTCAATAATTTATCAAATAAAGAAGTTTAAAGAAATTGGCTAAAAAAAAAAAAAGATCCTCAAAATTGTTTCAGGATAATACTACCCCCCCCCCCCCCCATATAATTTTTGTTCCTACAGGCCTGATACATATATATATATATATATATATATATATATATATATATATATATATATATATATATATATATATATATATATATATATATATATATATATATATATATATATATATACTGCATACAACAAAAGATAGTTAAGAATTGAAGCATATAAAATAGTAATGCATAATTCAATAAAACTGTCACATTAAATTATTTATAAAAATAAATTTAAATAAAAACCTGGTTTATATAGTTGTTGTATATGTATATTTTGTTAGACATGATACAAAATGTGACGCTTTATTTGTATTATCATTTATAAATATTTAAAAATTAGTTAATTTAAAAATTAGTTACAAACCAATATTTTTTATAAATCAGTCAAAACGTCTTAAAAAATCTGGCTGTATTAGATATCCAATAATCCTGTTTAAAAAAGTATACGAATATAAGTGAGTTGAACACAAATATTTGTATACTTAGATTAAAATATGAAAAAAAAAAGTTATAATATTAAATTACAGTTAGCTAGAATATAAAAATTTCAAAAAATAAAAATTGAAATATTTTCTGAAAAAAAGGTATGATCATTCAAATAAATTATTTATTGAATGATCATAAGTTAATACTTTACAAGTAATTACAATAAAAGTAAATTTATAAATGGATTTTTTTGAAGGGAAATCAAAGCATTGAAATAAGGAGAAAACTAGATTGTACACAAGTTGTACACAAAGAAATAATTAAATCTAATACACAAAGGAATAATTACAGTAAAAAACTGAAAGATAACTTAAACAAGAGTTTTGATTGATGGAAAATAAGATCAAAGCTTACTGAAGAAACAAACATGGTAGTATTTATTGAAAATTGAAAGAGATGCATCAATACAATGATGGAACAGAGGGTTAGCAAACGCTAAACTTGAAATGAATTAGAAATATGGTTTTAATAAAGGTGAATGATAATCAAAGTAAACGTAGAGTACTATTACTGCCATTTACCAATAAAGGAATATCAACAACATCTTGACGACTATTAGCAGTAACTAGGTTAAAATTCAACAGCTTCTAGAAAACCCAACTTATTACTGAAGAGAGGTTACATCCAAAAAATAGATATAGTATCTCAAAAGCATATTACCATATGTTGCATTAACATATTATAATATGCTTTTAAATTTAACACATGATAATATGCTTTTGTATTATATTATAGTAAACTAATGTATTACTAAAAATTAATGCCACACTATTTGTTTTATACTACTTGTTTCATTCTAAATAAGATATTAAGATAAAAAAACTAAACCACTTTTAATGATTCTAATAACCAAAATAATATAATTAAAAAATTATACTTGCAAAAAAAAAAAAAAAAAATTAATAAAAACCATAATACCCAAACTAAAATGTTTGTAATCTGTTAAAAAATATACTCAATATAATATAAAACTTCAGAATTTAAAAATATAAAAAAACCTGGACATGTTGTTGTTTCTTTAACAGGAAAGCTGTAAAGTAAAAATATGTTGATAAGTATTTGGATTATAGAGAACTGCCTGACAAAAAATAATTATTAAATAACAGTGCACCTCAAAAAAATGTCTAAATATTTTATACTTTATATTTTTATCTATATTTTATACTTTTACTTATATATATTATATCTTTTGTCTATATTTTATACTTTAAAAATATGAGTTATCTCTGGCCCAGTGTTCCTTTACCTGCAAGTTACTTTATGTTTATGTTTATGTTTATGTTTATGTTTATGTATGTATGTATGTATGTATGTATGTATGTATGTATGTATGTATGTATGTATGTATGTATGTATGTATGTATGTATGTATGTGTATTGTCTGTTTATGTTTATTTGTGTTATATGTATTATCTGCGTTCTGTCTAAACTTCTGGTGTGGTATTTACTCATCCATAAGTTATTTTATATATGTTTGTGTTCTGTTTAAATGTTCTGTTTAACTGTTTAATTTTTTTCAATGTAGTGAGAGCTCATTAACTAACTAGTTACTCCAGCTATAAATCACCTTAATTTCTGGTACCTCACTTTAATTTCTGGTATTTTATTAGATGTAATGTTTTTAATAGTGCATTTCCAAAATATCATGCCTAATGTTTTAAGGTACTGTTTGCAGAAAGTAGCTCCTTTTAACTATTCCAGGTCAGGTCAGGTTCAGGAACATCACAATCACCCTGCTACTGGTATCATGTAACCCAGTACTGCCTTTCCATGCCCTAATGCTTCATAGGGTGTGCATCCAGCTAAAATTACTCTGCCTTAGAGCTCTTGGTTGAGGAAAGGCTAGAGATGGTTTCTCAATAAAAATACTTATCTTGGGCAGATCATGGACATTCATAGTTGGACCTGCTCTTGGAGCCAACTTCCAACCATTATCAAATTGTTGTAATGTTGCTTCTCTTTCTCTTTTCTACATATAATATAATGGGCACTGCTCTAAAAAGCTAGCATCTCTTTTACCATCTAATAAAATTCATTCTTGTGTTACTTGACATTCAATTAAGTGTCATCCTTTTTTTGTGACTATTTCTAAGTGCAACAAAAATTTATCTTATTCCTCTAGTGTTTTTCCTCGAACATCAGATCTTTGGAATTCGCTCCCTTCATCTTGCTTTCCTGATTTATATAGTTTGCAATCTTTTAAGTCATCTGTCAATCGTTATCTTGCTCTACAATTTTCATCTTTTCTTTTCCAGTAACTTCCAACTCTAACAGTGTTTGCTCGCAGCCTTGTTGGAAGCAAAGATGTTAAAATAAAAGATGTCAATTGCATCCAGCTACTGTCTTGTAGGAGGCCTCCTAGGTAAATACTTTAGGGGTAAGCAGAAAAATTCTGCTAACCAACCTAGCACCTCTTCATCTATTAAGATGGCAAAGATGTACATCCGTGCTACATTATTTCTTGCCTAGGATGATAAAAGCTGGATCTTCTTGACTCTTTTCATAGGTTTTTGCTTGTGCCTCCATGATAGTGGCAGTGGCTATGCAACTCTTCCTATTATCTCTTAATGAGGGTACAGATCTAAAACTCAGTTTAATTGTTTTAAGACTGGCTAGTATTAAGGTTTTCCTTATAGGTAATAGCTCTCAGAGAGACTGATTCCATCAACAGCTGCAAAATATTAAAGTATTAACAGTGCCATGTTGCGCATGGATGGTATCCCTCTTAATGCTTTTTGTGCGTATTATCGAGGCCACATAAAGAGCCCTATGTTATAATTTGAGATTAATTAACAAAACTGGAGCAATTGCATAGGTCATTGTTTAGGAGGCGGTGCTCTATCTATAAATAAGTCAAGTTCTCTTTAAACTTAAACGATGCTATAAGTAACCCAAATTGTTAAACCATCCCCACCACCTAACTATATCTTTTACAAATATTTGTGGTGTGCAAAGCAACCTTTCATCAATTGAAATTACCTCTGGCAAAATTCACCAGACTTGCTTGCTCTTAGTAAGACCAATTTAAATTTTACTATTCGTTCTTCTAATCTCAGTATTGATTGGTGCTATTATTTTATTCGCAAAAACTCCAACAATCACATGCTTGCTTTGGGAGTATACATATGCATTAATTAACCTATTTGTCATGAAGTCAAGTTTGAATCCTTTGACCATTCGTTTATGGGCTTCCGCTTAGCACCTCTTCACTATATCATCTTTCTCTTCTTTTTTTTATTGTTCTCATTTTCCCAAGACTTCCCACTCTTTTACATTTAATTTCTGATCAAATTGACCATGTCTTTTCTCTTTACCCCTCTGCCAATATTATTGTTATTGGTGACTTTATTGCTCATCACAATAAATGGCTTGGATCTAACACCACTGACTCTGCTGGCACTAAAGCCCATAATTTCTGCATTTGTAAATCTTTTACTCAGATAGTTAACTTTGTGATTCATTTTCCTGACAACCCTAATCATTTACTTTCACTTCTTGATTTATGTCTTTTATCCTAGGTTGTATTCAGTTTCTCCTTTTTCTCCCTTAGGTGGTTCCAACAATGCAATGATCTTTTTAAACCTCCATTATTGTACTTCCTTTTAAGACTCACCCTTACATTGCACTCATTACTATCCTAAAGCTGACTGGGATTCTTTTTGTGATTTTCTTTGTGATAGTCCTTGGGGTGATGTAATTTCTCTCTCAGCTGAAAAATGCGCCTCCTTACTGTCCTGAATTCAGGTGAGAATGGAAGCTTTTATTCCTTCTCGTTGGTTCGAAGTCAAGCCACATTCTAATCCATGATTTTCACCTTCTTGTGCTGCTACAATATCTAATCATAATCATTTTTTTCATCTTTTTCAAAAGAATAACTCTCTTGAGAACAAATGGTTATTTATTATTTGCAAGAAATTGATGTAAAAAGGTGTTGTCTGATGCTAAGCTCCATTATTCTTAGTTCACTAAATCTCACATTTTATCTCAAAAGTTAGGCCCTAGAGACTTTTGGAAAATCCAATACTTTCCAAAAGTCTCTAGAACCTAACTTCTCCAGAATTTAGATCCATAGAATTTATACTCCTGCTTTGACAAAAAGTTTTTTCTTTTCGATTGTTAGAACATGCAGCAGATCTTGAAATTGATATCACTTCAGTAACAGATTTGGGCTCACAATGGCTTGTAATGTTTAACTCCAACAAAACTTAGTTATTTACGGCTGTTGTTTATTGAAATTATCACTTTTATCTTTTTTTAAGTTTTTAATATTTGGTCAATTACCACAATAACAAAGCATACAGCTGCAGTTCTCAATGTCAAATTGGTGTATTTGACAAACATACTGAAGGCCCCTGATGCACTATTAACTGTTGTGCACCAATTAAAACTAAGCTGAAAAAAAGCTGAAAGTTAAGAACCATATTTTTATCATGATTTTAGAACCTCTAAATGTAGATTGATAAAAAATTTAAATATGTTGTTTTTGATTAATAATTTTAGTTTAAACAAATTCTTACGAAAATCTGAAAATATTCTTTATGTGCATTTTTAACAATTGATATTTTTACTGTTTGTTAGATTGCCCAACTATTTATTGTCTTTCTTAAATGAGAATGGTAACTTTATTTCTTAACTGCTTTAAAAAATAAATCCTGGTCAATTTTTGCAAGACCTGTTTATTAAGAAAATCCCAAACAATTTGAAATTATCGTATGAATTTCTTGATTAATTTTTATTTTTAACTTGGTATTATGGGTTTTCATGACTTCCATAACTCAAAATATTACTGATTTAAATAGAAAATAGTAATTGTTTTATTTTGAGTTGGAATGTATGGGGTATTGGTTTCATTATTGGTGTAATTGTTTTCAATACTTTCACCATTTTTAAAATTAATTATTTCATTATCAGTAGCTTCACTTATGGAAAGCTTTCTTGCCTGCCTGAATTCAGGAGATAATGGCATTTTAGGAGTAAACTTTTCTGAGCCATCTAAAAACTAAATCCAAGGAAGCAATACATGTTACAGGTTGTACTACATTATCAGTAGAAGAGTTTCTTTACTTTCAGACCTTGGCCTGAATTTAATGCAGAAATAAATGCAACATGTTATTGAAATAAATAACTCTAACTTTAACTCTAACTTTAACTGGAACATGTTACTGAAACAAGTTACTGCAACAAGTTAATGCAATATAATACTAGAGTAAGTTACTTCAACATACAATTGCAATAAGTTACTGCAACATATTACTGCAACATTACTGTAACAAGTTATTGCAACATCACTGTTATTGTAAAGTTACTATAACATTACTGTAACAAGTTATTGCAACATATTACTGCAACTGCTGCAACATATTATGGCAACAAGTAACTGCAGCAAATATAACATAAGTTAAACTACCATATTCAGAAAACTTTGACTTTAAAAAACAACTTTAAAAAGAACTTTTAAGAAGTTTTAAGTAATTGGTTAGTATTTGTTCACTATTTATTAGTATTTGTAACTAAAAGAAAAATAACGAATCAATATAAAAAGAAGACAAAAAAAAAAGATTAATTACTTAATTTGTGCTCTTCTTTTGTCCATTAAATATTTGACAAACTTCATCTTTTCATCTGCCACTAAAAGAAATGTTTCAAAACTAATAATTGAAAAAAATGTTTTCAATACGAAATATTTATGAGTAAATTATGTTATTTCTAGGTAAACTGTAATAAATTGTTTAACATAAATAAATTATTTCATTATCAGTAAATGCTACATAAACAATAGTTGTTTTGCATATGACCATAGCAATTTTGTTTTGCATATGACCATAGTAATCAGGGTAAGAATTAGTTGGTGCAAAATAATTTAATGGTTTTAAACAATCCTGTCACAATTAAAACAATCTTTGTATCATTTGATATATTTTAAAAAGTATTCAAGAGTGTGCAGAGCAATTATTTTTAAACTGCAGTTTTTAATTTTAGTAAATGTGTAAAAAAGTTTTTTTTATTATTATCAGAGCCAGTTAATATTTTTTAATAATTAATTAACTCAATAATATCTTATATATAAAAAAAAATCAAAAAATCTAATATATAAACAAAACAAAAAAAAAGTAAAGTAAAAAAATTTATGTTAAAACAAAAAAATTAAAAAGTAAAAAAAAAAAAAAAAAAAAAAAAAAAAAAAAAAAAAAAAAAAAAAAACTGAAAACAAAAAATAAAGAACTTACAAAATGAGATCTTTCCAGAAACATAAAAAATAAATCATTAGATTATTATATAAATTAATTAGCGAAGAAATATAAAGCCAATTTATTTTAATCAAATTAAAAAATAGAAATGGTTAACCAATCAAATTACTTATTCAAATTATTTAGCCAGTGAATCAAATCACTCAATCAAGTTAACCCACCAATTAACTAAAAATAGTAAAATTTAAAACCTTACATTCTCCTTGCAGGCATCAATACTTTCTTGAATTTTTGCAACCCTAAAAATAAGAATTGCTTTATTTTTTTTATTTATTGAAAATGATTTTGTTTATTCTAGGTGATAAACAAATTAATGCAAGTAAACAATTCAAATATTTTGAATTTTTAAACTAATATATTTTAAGTTGCGGTGAAAACCAAATTGTTGAGAATGGTGTTATTATATTTTTTTTATGGCTGGATGTTGTCTGTTGGTTTGCATACTATCCAATAATGAAAATTGGGTTTCAAGTTTAACAATGGAATAGCAAGTTGTTTGTTTAGTAAGCGGATGATGTAGACCATAAGAAAAGATTAAGTTATATGACAGATTGACACACCTCAGACCTCAGCAGTCATGACATTAAATTGAATAGAGCCATGACATTAATGTCATGACTCTTTAATGTCATGAGTCATGACATTAAATTGAATAAATGTATAGTATACCTTTTAAGAAACATTTTTATGTAACTTATTTTTTATTATATTATTTTTATATTAAAGTTTTTTTGAAAAGTAAAATAAAAACAGTCGTTTTTATATTTTTAAAATTTTTTAATAAAGACAACAATTTTAGTGTTCTATTTTCAGTCTAAAAACCAATGAAAAAATTTATCCCTGTTGCAAATTGTTTTTTAATGGAAAAATGTTATTGAAACTATATATGGAAAATAAAGCATATTTACTAAAAATACATACCAAACCAGCATGGATGAGAGAGAATGAGCCTGAAAAACATATTGATTATTTGTTTCTAATAATCTGAGCAAGAAAAGATGTCTTCGATAAGTGTCTGAATAAGCAGATTTCTGAAAAAGTAAAACAAAATAAACAAAAACTTGAATTTTCATTTTTAAAATAATTATGTACCCCTTACCTTTAGAAACGTTCCTTTTAAAAATATTTATGTACAAACCCCTTACCTTTTTGATGAATGAACTCGATGAATAAACTTTTTCAAAAATTTATATATAAACCCTTTACCTTTTGAAATGACCTTTTTCAAATATTTATGTATAAACTTTACCCCTTTTACCTTTTTATTTAACAAAGTTTTGACTGAGCTGCATCGAAGATCAAGAAACGCCACTGTAATTAAATTCTATATTTTAAAATATAAAGAAATAAATATTAAACACAGTTAGCAATACAAGTATATATAAACTTAATAAATTCTTATTTCAATTTTCAGAATCACTGAAATTACTACAATGTATTTGATTTGATTTAAATTTATTACAACAGTAATACATGTTTTAAAGGACGCACAGCTCCAAAAAAAAAATAGGACTCTGACAGCGTCCTCCACAACAATAAGATAAGTATTCTAAAAAGTAGACAACTGAATAAGTGCAATATTCATAAGTGAAAACTGTGCAAGGCGTTGCAAACACTTGCATATGTGCAAATTGGCATAAACGTGCCAAAAGAATGTGCAAACAATAGTATAAGTGTGAACTAGTATATGTACAAAGTAGTTGGAAAAACTGGCAAAAGTGCAAATTGGCATAAATGGGATTTGGTATAAGTGTACCAAAAAAATTTGCAAATATTGGTACAAGTGCAAACTGGCATAAGTGTGAAACAGTTGCAAAACCTGGAATAAGTTCGAATTGGCATAAGTGCAAAATGCCAATTCGCTCTTATGTTAATACTTGCAATTTTATTTTTTGCACTTATGCCAGTTTCTATAGAGTAAACTGAATGTTTAACACCGATTTGTTGCCTGATAGATACAGTAAACCTTATAAGTAAAGTTATTCAAAATAATTTAATTAAAAAAAAGAAAAATTAAATAAACCTCTTTTAATGGTGTAAAATCAATTCTTGGTACATTGTAAAAAGCACAATCAGATAGTAAAGTGCAATCCTTAAACAGAAACATTAACACATGTACAATATTTTAACAATAAAAAACCAGATGGTGGGAATTAAATGAAGTATTTTTAGTAGGAGTTTTACAAAAACTGTAAATTATTTAAATATAAACCATGATTATGCCATTAACATATTTGGTTTTAAATGTTTAAATTTAACAACAAAAATATTATACATCACCTTAAATAAATATGAAACTGATTATAAAAAACTTATATAAAACCAAAACTATATTAACTACCTTGTATTGAGCACAAAGAATATAATACCTTATATAAATGTAAAACTGCACATGATATCTTATGCAGGTGCAAAACTGTAGAAAACACCCCATATAGACACAAATCTATATATAATACCTTATAAAGACGCAAAACTGTGCCTGACAACTCAACCCAAAATGTATTCCAGTAATGCTTCTAAAAATCAAATAAAGGCTTAAAAATATTATTATTACTTTATACAAAATTTTGTGTGCTAATTAAATATTTTGTGTGATAACTAAATAAAATAAACCACAAATGAAAATTCATTTGCTTCACTTATTTTTAACCAATTTTTGATTTTTACAGTGTATTTAAGCATACCTTAGCATTTCTTTTATTCGAAACTGTTTGGCAACAATGCATATAACCCCACTAAATATAAAAAAAAACTAGAAGTATACTAATTATACTTAAATATAGAATATAGAACAGAATAAAAATATTTAAACAAGAAAAATAATATTTTCACCTGATGATTGCTATTTAAATAAAAATCTTAGTTGTAAAAAACATGTTGTTTACATTTAGAAAACTTATAAATATATATTATATATGTACATATATATATATATATATATATATATATATATATATATATATATATATATATATATATATATATACATATATATATATATATATATATATATATATATATATATATATATATATATATATATATTTGTGTGTGTGTGTGTGTGTGTGTGTGTGTGTGTGTGTGTGTGTGTGTAAGCACACTGTAAGCACACTGCTGGCTATTCCCTAAGTAAATCAGTTATTAACAAAAACGAAAGAACAATTAAATAAAATTAAATAATAAAAATAGGAAAAAAAAATTTAAATATTCAGAATTAAAAAAACATATAACATTCTAGTCTACTAAGTTGCAATTTTGTGTTTTTTTTTTTAAAAAACAATCAAATTTAATTACATTCTTTAATTACTTTCAACATAAAGTGCTCCTAATTTTATCATTGTTTAACACAAAGAGCTGTTAAGAGCCATTTTTATCAATAAATGGTATACATTTGTCATTAGTATAATTTATATATCATTAGTATAGGATATATTAAATATAATAAACTATTCACAAGTGAAACTGAAAATGCTTTGTCAAGTACATAAAGTTGAAAGTTTAATCAGAAAATTGTTGACTGAAGATCATCTACATAATCTTCCTGAAATATTATAGACAGATTGATTACAAAGAGAAATTAAAGTATACAGGTAGTTACATAAATAATTTCTGATGTTGATGTTGTTAGTATTACATTTGAGAGCATTTTCATATGTACCTTTAAATGAAACTCTTAAAAAACTAAATGTTAACCTCCCCAAGGCCACCACTGCATTCAAGGAGGTTAACTTTTTTAGCATTATTTATATAATTTTAGATTCTAAATAACCCTAAAGAGCATTACTATGTAACCCTAAAAAGCACCAATTCTAGTATAACAGATATGCATATATGAATGATCAAACAAAGTAACTTTGAAGATTGATGACTGGAAAATTATGTGATTAAAATTGTTGTTTTTTTTAATTAAAAAAAAATTAAACAAGAGTTTGTGTTTCTCAGTTCTCTGTTACTAAAACCATCACATGTTTTGTGGTAACAGGATCATGTTGCCAAATAAATAAACCTGTATCCAGACAGAAACCTGTATGAAGACCAGTGATAACTCAGCAATTTGTTGATTGGTTACAACTAATCCAAAAAATTTTAATTTTAATTGCAATCTCATTGCTAGGCTTACCAACAAACTATTTACTGCTGCCTTGCTGTTGATTTTGGATTAAAGTCATGTAAACTAATCTCAAAACTTTGCATCTACCCTAAAAATGTGAATGACAGATGAGCATTTTGCAAACACTACAAAACGTATAAAATCAAAGATTAGCATAATATTATGTTTTGGCAAAAGTTGGTTCACTGCTTTCCTAAGATTGAAGAAAAATTAATTATCTTGACACCCTGGAGAGCTCAACAAGAAAGTTCAAACTGCTTTCTTTATCGATGTCGCATATTACAAGAGGCATCAAAACTTAGAGTTTGCACCATGACTACTTGAGCTTGTGTATTGTTTAATAAACAAAAACAAAAAAATAATAATAAATAGAACTAGATTCTAAAATAATAAAAAAATTAATAAACTTTATATTTTAAATAAAAAAAGATAATAAACCGTTGAATAGAAAAAGTAGATTTTATTAAAAAAAAACATTTATAACAAACTTATTGCTATAAAAAGTATAAGTATAAAAAAGTATAAAGTGTAAGTACTGGATACCAGTGCACAGAGGGCCAAGATCAACATTAACAAAAAATCATAACTATTTTATTTTTAATGTTTTCAGATTGAAATTATTATTAGCGACTCTAGTCATCGAAAAGTTCTTTTTTTTTTAAAAAAATAATTGTTTCTTATGCAACTTAAATTAATTAAAAACAAAGAAAATTAATAGAAATGTTTGTTATGTGTTAGACATACACAAGCTCAAATAAAAATAAATATTTATTTATTAGATATTTTATCAGAAATATTTATTTATTACATATTTTATCAGAAATCAAAGTAAATAAATATATTATATTATATATAAAAAAACTTAAAATTAAAAAAAAGTTACAAAAAAAGTTAAATAAAATCTTCGCTCTTGTAACCACGTTATTACGTTTCAAAGTTGTAGCTCAAGTTCTTTAATACATCTTCTTTTTAGAGAGTTAATAAGTGAATCTGAACTGCACAATAATCTTTGCATAAAATCTTTATTAGTTACTTTTCTTGAATATTTTCTCGTATAGTGTTCTCTATGATTTGTAATGTCTCTATAATTTGTAACAAACTGGTACATTGAAAGAAAACTGGTACTGGTTTATCTCTTATAACTATTAGAATTAGAATTTTATGTATAATTTGAGACATTGGGATCCATGGGTACATAAAAATGTAGAGCTCTGCTGTTTTTTTTTGTATATTTTTCAAGTTCATCAGCATTACTTTGATGTTTGCACAATAAAACAAAAAGAATTATGAAGAAACATTTTATTAGATTTTTAGTTAAGTATTTCAGCAGACACCTTATAGTTTCACAATATTTTTTGTGCTGTGTTTCTATCATTTGTTGTACCTGAATTGCTGCTTTTTGGTACATCTACAATTAAATTGAAGTGATCTTTCATGTTTTGTTGAACAATAAACTTTTTTTTTTACAACAATATCTTTAGCATTCTCTCCCCTGATTTGCCACTTTCTTAATTCAATTATAAAACTTATATGAAGGCAGCACTCAAAGCACCTAACCCATGTATGTAATATGCTTAATCCAAGCTCAGTGAAAACTGTATTAGAGATTTTTAAAAAAACAACATTTATATTGTTAATATTTGAAGGGATAATATTTAATTACTTAAAGGCAAAACTATAGTAGCCACTTATCCATCAATCATTGTGCATTCTAACTTATATTTGATAATAAAGGAAATAAGGCTGTTGGTTATAAATTACTGTTCTTGAAGAGAATATATTCTTGCGTATTAACCTCAGCACTTTATTTTACATAATAAAATCATACTGAATGGGAGTAAAGTGTAGAGGCTGGTTTTTCATTTGTCCATAGTAATTCACCAGGTTCTTCAATATAAAATTTAATTAGAACAATGAAAGATAGAAATAAAGTTTGTTTCTCTAGATAACAGATTCTTATCTTGTCTTCAGTACTTTGCTTCTCTAATGATTGGCCAGTTGAACCATCAAATCCTATTTTGTGTATAAAGACAAGTGTAGATTTCTCAGGAGCCTTTACAGATTTATTGACTATTTCTAACAACCTGTATGTATTTAACTATTTTTAACAACCTGTATGTAGTATGGTCAAAAAGGCTGTAATTCAACTAAGGGTGAATAATCAGTAGTACCACAAGGTATGCATAAATCTTTTTCTTCCCTTCATTATAAGTTGGATACAATTTGTTTTCTTTAAAAACTGCTCCACTGCAAATTGTTTGGTGATCAGCTTTAAGTCGGCAGTCCAAAATCAAAGCTAATGCTTCCAATCCAGTATACATTGTTGTTGAACTACCTGCACCATCTTTCTCTGATTTGAATATTTGTTTCACAACCTTAAATGTAAAAATGTAAATTTGAAGAGTGAGATAATTATAATCCACTAAGTAAATTTATCACCCGTAGTATTTTGGAGATTTCTTTTTAATAAACAAGATAAATTAAAAATGACTATAATATAGATCTTAATGTACCTCAGCAATGCTGAACCTTTTTTCTTTTTTCAGTTTTAAAATAATTGAGTAAAATAATTCTTCGCTTTTGACAGCAATGTTTGTTTTTTCTGGTCTCCTCTTCTTTGTTTTTTCAGAAGCTTGGGTGAATGCCATCTGGGAAATGTGGGCAAAAAAAATCTTGAGCCTCTGAATTTTTTATTACATTTTGTAACACTTTAACTGTCATAAATTTTAGTTTATAAAAAATGTTGTGTTGTAAAATTTTTAAGAAATAAATAGTATAAGTTTAAGATTTTAAAATAAGATTTTTTTTTTAAAAAAAAAACATATTTCAATTTTATTGATAAACTTTTTTATAACAATTTTGTTTAATTTAAAGTTATTAGGACTAGGATTTTGAACGTGGTTTCAAATTAAATTTAATTACAAGGTGGTACTTTAAAATAAACAAATAGACACCAGCGATTTTCATTTTTTTTCAAAAAAATCAATTGCTTCAAGTAGGAGTACCTTTATTAGACCATAAAACTGTGATGTACAAAATATAAAAGTTGAAAGTCTTCCAAATTCAATCTTATTTTAATTTAATTTTTTTTTTTTAATTATAAAACATATAATATATTATGAAACACAACTAGAGTGGAGTTATAATTAATGAATTTATAAAATGTGTAAAACATTTTCCTGCATTTTTTTTCATATATAATGAAATGTAATTATGGAACTCTAAGTTTCATGCTATTTGGCAAAAATATAAAATAAAAACTGTTATAAAAAATACTAGTTTAGCATTGCAACGGCATCTGATGATAAATAAACCTGATCTGATATTTGCTAATGGCTGATATCAAAGTAAATAATTTTTTCTATTATTAAATTGTAATTTTTAAAGCGTTTAAAATTTTTCAGTCATGTTATAAATTATTTTTTTGTTTGTAACTTTAAAAGGTAGACAATATGTATAGTGTTTCTACTGCATACTAAAAAATATTGAAGTAAGGAATAAGAAAGGTATAAGTATAGTAATGTTTGGTGTAGAATACCAAGACCCATATTTACGTATTTTTTTTCTGTGGAAATGCGGAAACTAATTCACTCTTTTTGTTCAGTAGTAATTAAAAGTTACAATAAAATATTTTTTACAAAGGTTACACTTTTTGTGTTGAATGGGTTCTTACTAATACTAATGTAAGATTTTTTCCATAAGGCTGGGATCAGCTAATGACTAACATTAGCTTTATACGCAACATTTTTAGATAAACAATGTTATTTAACCAGCATATGGTTTTAACGCAGTTACAGTTAGTTTCAAAATTTGTTAGTTGTTTGAATCGAAATTATATCAAATATTTAGCATGCAACTGTAACTAAATTTTATTATATTTCTGTTTAAAATTTTGTGCAGCTTATGATGTGATGGAAAATAAAATTCAATTAAGTTTAAGTAAAGCCCGATTTTGGTTACAACATTTTTGCAGAAAGGAGTGTTAAACCATATAATACTTTATTTTCATTTATTATTAATAGTGGGATTTAGATTTAAATGATATTGGAAACTTTTCTAACGCGTCTTTCTAAATAGAAACAGTCTTTTGAAATTTTTTTTTGTTGAAGAATTAAAAAATAATCTGTGTTCAATTAAGGTTGGTCATTGTTTTAAAATGCTTGATTAGATGATTGGAACTAGAATGGATATAGTTTAAAGTTCTATCATAGTTATGATTAGGTTGAAAACTTGGTTGTTAAGATTTAATACAACATCAATTTTCATATTAGATTGAATGGAAATACTGCTGTTTTGTTTAAGTATCTGAGTGAAATGTTTCTTAATTTTTTTCATTTTTAGACTGCTTGTGTTTTTTTGTTTTTAGACTGGTTGCGCTTTTAAAAAAACAGCTAAGCAATCGCCTCTTGGTATAAAATTGAAAAATCTCAAAAATACTGACTAACTTGCACACCTCCATGCCATCAAATGCACCTATGGTAACATCTAAATTTTTTGCAGACCTCAATGTTTCATGGTTACCCCTTTGTAACAAATCCTCTATATTTTATGGTAAAGTCCTATGTAACAAATTTTTTTTACTAACCTAATGTTGACCTTTAACAGTTTTCATAATAAATAAGAGTTGAAAATTTCCAACAGTATACAGCACATATATATACATATATTGATATGTGCTTAAAAAAATTTATATTTGACAAAATAAAATATATATCATTGTATTATAAAACTCAAAATCAAAATCTTTTATTATTTTTTTTTATTTTGTGTTAAAGGCAAAAACAGTTTATTTTTTATTGTAAAGGCAAAAAACAGTTTATTTTTTATTGTTCTTTAAACAATAAAAAATAAACTGTTTTTGTTACCATAACTTTTTGGCAAATTTTATTTTAAAGAATTAAAACATTAACATGATTGCTGCATGCAGCGAGCATGTTTATGTTTTGATTTCTCAAAAAATGGTAACATTGCGCTGTTGGCAGGACTATGTTAGCATTTTAAATTTTAATATATATTGTCGGGGATAGTGCAAATCCGCGTAACTAGCATTGGCTACAATATTTGGATATTACTAATTTTAACACCAAATATTTATTGTTGAGATTACATAAAACATGAATAATTATCTTTTTACTAAAATGAACCCAAAATCAGTAAAAATAAAAAATAAATAAAGTTTTAAACTTCTCCAGTAAAAAAAATCTACTGTAGATATGTGGTATTATAAAATGCTAGTTACGCGGTTTTGCACTATCCGCGAAGATATATTATCTTTGTATAAAATTTATTTTTATTATATTATAATATAAGTTAATATAATCTTTATTTGAATTCTAATAAATTAATGTTTCATAAATTTTATAGGTAGTAAATTGATGATGGAAGTCAAAAAAATAAATTCTGGTGCACAGAAGAAAGCTGAAAAGAGAAAATCTGAACTGGCCAATGCTGCAAAAAACCAAAAGCAGACAAATTATCATTTGGTAATGGGAAAATACAATTACTATGGAAACCAGTTATTGCAGCTGATAGTGAACTGAAAAATCTTCAAGAAGTTATTGTTCCACATATTATTGAGGATCCTGGGTATGGAGAAGAATTGATTATTCCAGAATTTTTCATTTATGATAATGTGAATAGAGAAAAGTTAATTGTTCCAGAAGTTATTATTCAGAACGAGAAATGAGTGGTTATTCTGGAGAATGATTATCTAAATAAGATATAGATGGTGAATCTAAACAATCAACCTGAAAAGCTAAAATCTGAGCCAAACAAGATTGAAGAAGAATTAGAAACAGATATGACTCCTTTTTTTTTGCCAAAAGACTTCATCCTTGAGTGACAAACTTCTTTTATGAAATTGTATCCATTACAGCCGTCAAATGTGTCGGACTTTAATAAAAAATGTGTAAATAACAGAGATATGCCTAAGGATGATTAAGTCCAAATAAAATTGGGTATCAAATTCCACTTTGTAGATTTTCTGTAGTGCAAGCATTTTAATGCCTGCTTATCCGCATTGCTTATCCGGGTATACATGAAAGAGCTTGGGTTATGGATGATAATGTGGAAAAGGCTCCTGAGATAAAGTGCGGCAGTTTTCTAGCATTTATGGTGTTACTCAGCAAATATGATCCTATCTTAAAAATTTATCTAAAAGAAGTAAGTAGAAAAAGCAGAAATAAAAAGGGCTTGAAAAGTCAGAGTTAATTGATTACTTTTCTGAGCAAGAAAACTGTTAACAGAACCATTTTTATTATATAGAACTTATCGAGTAATCTACTGTTATAGAAGTTCAAGAGTCAAGACATCCTGGCTTGAGTTAACTTTCAAGTTAACACAAGCCAGGATGTTGGTGTTGTTGATCAGCTCACAATCACTTCACTATGTAAAAAACAGAGTTGCAATGATGAGATTGGTAGGCATGGTTGATTCCAATTCATCCACTGGTAAAATTCTACCATTTACAAATGAATGGCTTGGATCTTCTAGTTGCATAGAAGATGATAGAAACCACTTCAAACCACCTCACTGCAATCCCTGATAAATTCCCTGATATTCTCATGAAAGCTGAATCATTTGCAAGATCGGCTGACAATATCGTATCTAAAGCTAACAAAGATATCAAAGAAGAATTTGAGCTCCCACAAAACATAGCTCAACAAAGAAATATGGTGATACTTGATGAAAATACAAGTTATGAAAGCAGGCAAGAAATTTAGGACCCAGTAAGACAGTTGAAGGTTAAAGCATCCTATGTTATTGTGGATACTGCCATTACAGCAATCAAAAATGGCTTCAAAGGAAATGTTTGAATCTTAAGGTAAGATATTACTTGTCTAGATCTTCAAAACTTGTTTGCGTGACCGTATTGAAGACTATAACTTTCACAATTTAACCAATCTTGCTGGTATACAGAGGGAAATAGTGTGCATAGAGATGTCATCATTTGCAACTAGTTTTCCATTAGTTTTTTTTTTTAAACATCTTCGCTTCCAACAAGGCCAAGCAAGCAACCACTAATTAGTGTTGGAAATAACTGAAAGAGAAAAGACGAAGATTGTAGACCATAATAATGATTGAGAGACAACTTAAAGGATTGCAAATTATATGAATCAGGAAAGCAAGATGAAGGAAGCGAATTCCAAAGAACTAAAGTTCAAGGAAAAAAACTAGACGAATAAGAGTTTTTGAAGCACTTAGGAACAGTAACAGAAAAAGGAGCAGACTTAATTGAATAACGAGTAACAAGAGAATGAATTTCAGTAGATGGCACAAGAGAAAGTAGCTCTTTAGAGCAGTGCCCATTATAGTATTTGTAGAAAAGAGAAAGAGAAGCAACATTATGACAATGTGACAAAGGTTGAAGGTTGGATGAAAGAGCAGGTCCAACTATGTTTACAATGTGTTTTTGCACCTTGTCTAAAAGAGAAAGAGCATCATTAGAAGATCTGCCCCATATATGGCAACAGTATTTCATACAAGGCTGGATTTGAGATTTATAGAGATAGAGAATAGAATCCAGAGTAAGAAAGTGTCGAGCTTGATAAAGAGATGCAACTTTAGCAGATGCTAATTTTGCAACGAATTTAATATAAGGTTTCCAAGAAAGATCAGAAGTGAGAGTTAATCCTAGAAGATGAAGGGTAAATGACTCATCAAGTACATTACCGTTCATAAATATAGGAAGGTCTAAATTATTGTGATAATGGTTAGCTGAAAAAAATTAAGTTTTATCTGAATTAAAGTTCATCAGCCACTGTGAGCCCCATGCTGTAACAGAAGTGAGATCCTTTTCAAGCTCAAATGCCTCCTGCAAGCAATCAGAGGGAGTTGGCTTCTTATTGTGACAAAAATAAATGGTAGTATCATCAGCGAACATTGCCACCTTAGATGTGAGAATATCTGGAAGATCTTGCGACCATAAGAGCCACATCTATGTCTCTTCTCCCCTCCCCCAGGCTTCTCAGTGCTTATCCACCCTGTTGAATTGTGTTTTATAAAAAAGTTAATCTGTATCATCCATTTCAAAATTAAAAACATTCAATTTTAAAAAAATCTTACATGTATGTACTTCAGATCAATCAAACTTTCATCCATTCTACAAACTAAACAAAATTTAAGATTAATCATTTATTATATTAAATAAATTTAATATAAAAAACCAATAATCTTGAATTTTAAATTTAAGGTTAATGATTATATATATATGTATATATATATATATATATATATATATATATATATATATATATATATATATATATATATATATATATATATATATATATATATATATATATATATATATATATATATATATATATGAAATCTATCACCTCATTAAATATTAGATCTAATAATAAACTCTCAGCCTTAATAATAGAACATCATACATAAAATATTTGATATTTTATCTATCATCAAAGCAGCCCAGTTTTACACAGCATCCAGTTTTATATACTCTTGTTGTGCATATAAGTACTCCTGTTATGCATATAAGTACTCCTAGATTTTTTTACGTATTTTACAATTTTTTTTCTTTTTTAAATTAATTTCAAATGTAAAAAATATGATGTGTCTATAACTTTTTGTTATTGAAACAAGTCAATAAAAAGTGCATAGTTTAAAACTTTAAGAGTTGTAATTATTCTAATTATGGAAATAATGCATCACACTAAAAAATAAAAGAAACAAAATGGGATACTGAATACTTTTTAATATTAATTCAGAATTAGACTATTTTAATAAACTTTAAAAATTATTTGATTGACATGCATAACAATAAAAATAAAATTACAAAATATTAGCATAAAACAAAAATATTTGCAAACAATCAGGAAAAAGCTTTATGTACCAAAAGTTTAAAAAAAAAAAAGACAAACAATTAACATGTAAACACTTAAGTAATCCAATTAATGCAGCAGTAAAAAGATTAAAAGGGTCATAAAAATGCTATAAAAAATTTGTAGTCTGAAATTGTATTGAAACTGACACTGTTTGGAAGACAATAAAGGTTACTTTACAGGTGTTATTTTTATAGATTTAAACTAAGCATTTGACACTTTATCACCCAACTTTATTCTTGCTCATACTCAAAAAACACAGAACTAGACTGGTTAAATGATTAAATCTTTAATTGAGACTATTTTGATATTTGATTATTCACAGACTATTTTTGTGAATAATCAAATATCAAAAGTTTTTCAAATCCAAGTTGAATGTACCTCATGGTTCCATTATCAGTTCCTAACTTTTGTTTTATTTTATATAACGTTACAAAGTGCTTTGAAAAATGATAAAAAAAAAAGCTGAAAATAAAATAATCTACTATTCTAATAATAACTTTGTTGTACAAAATTTCAGCCACTTAATCTTATTAAAACAAAAGATCAAAACCAAAACAACAACATAAAATTACTTTGATTTCCCACTCAACTCTTCTCTAATGTTAAGGTAGATTATTAAGATCTGTTACAAGAAGTCTAGCAACAGATTGAGATCAGATTGTGCCTAAAAAAACAGTAACTTGAAAAAAAAAAACGTGCAAAATTATCTTTAAATCAATGATATTGCTACTTGTAACTTATAAAAAGCTTTTCCAACCTTACTTTTACAAAAATGCAGTTTGCTTTGATCGAATCAATTAGACAAACTAATACAGTGATGTCTGAGGTAAAGATTTTGAGCAAAATTATTCACTATTTGAAAAGTTTGTAACAAAGAACACTTGTTCAATATTGCAAATGTCTAGATAAAACAACTTTGTTATTTATTTAAAACAAGATTAAGGCAATTTATAAAATTGTGACTATGATATCTTGTTAAATTTTTTACTCTAAATAAAAATTTGTGCTTAAAACATGTACATGTTTAAAAAATATTCATTATCCACTAAAAATAATGATAAAACATAAAGCATAAAAATAGTTAGCTTATTTAATTTGTTGATTATTTTTAAAACACACAGACTTTAAGTGCTCATATTCAAAAACAAAAAAAACATTTTGGTGAATAAGAAAAACTACGAGAAAAAAAATTATCTGTATTTGTGTATTATACTAGCATTTTTTTATTTTATTTGATTCTGTATCTTACCATAAAGGTAATTATAAATATTTTAAAAGCTAGACATCCTAATTGACAATTGAATTGTGAAATAAAATTGTGGTTGATTTTGGCATTTTGTAGAAAGCAAAAAAACAACAAATAATAAAAAAAACATATTTCCTTATTATTATTAGCATTCCTTTAGAGTATATTTTCCAAAATAATATAAAATGTGTTAAAAAATTATAAATTATGTTAAATTGAATACCATAAACATATAAATATATACCTCTTCAAGTTAAAGAACACATATTGAAATTTAAATCAAAGTATCATAAAAGTTATCAGGTATTTTTAAGATATTCGATATCCAATAACACTGATTTTATTCATTAAATGCTTTCTTTAAGAATTTTTATAACATTTTAATTTCAAAACACAAAATTAATACATTAAAAATCCTGAATAACTCGCCCACTTTAATCAGTTAAATCCAATTTTGTCCGGTTAGGAAAACACCTTTGCAGAAAGGTTTTCCCTCGTAAGTAAACAGACTTTGTTTACTTACTAGGGAAAACCTTTCTCTTGAACAAAGCTTATTGTGTTTTCATTGAGAAAGCGAATCGTAAAATTATTTACATTAAATCGCGCCGCGGCGCTGAGTAATGCAGTTTTAACTGTTTACGTAATTTATTGTAACTGTATTGCGTAGTATTAGTATTATTTACATTTATTTGTATTTTTTTAAGAAAATATAGAATGATCTTTTAATTGCATTAGAAAAACTTATACTTTTTGTAAAGAAAAGGAAAAAAATATTTATAGACTTGATATAAAGCTTATTTTCTTTAAAATATCTGAAATTTTACAATCTTTAGTCGTAAATTTCATTTTTAAAGTTATTTATCAAATTTTTGTTTTTTAAAGTTTTTTAAGTTGCGCTTACAAAATTTGGTATAACTAGACTTGAAGAAATGGAAGATTAGTAAAAAGCTGAGCTAAATCAGATAGCCAGTTTTAGATTTTATGTTGCTCGCATTACGGTTTATCCTTAGGAGAGAGAATTTAAATAAATTAACTTGTGAAAGATTGCGTTAGCTTTATTGTTAATTTTTTAAAAGTCACAAATATTGACTTGGTTATTTGTTCTTAACTTTTAGAGATGTTTTGAGCTAAAAAATGGAGTAGACCAGTTCATATTTTCAAACCCAAGACCTCTTCGAAATTTTTATTAGACAGTTGGAGAAAGTTTTCACTGGGTAATGCCATGCTTTAATAGTCAATATTAGTAGTAAATTGATATTGACATTTCATTTATAGAAAAAAGACATTGATAAAAACCATTAACTTTAGGGAATTAAAAAAAGAAAAAATCTCTATGAGAGCAAAGGAGGAAACTCCCAAAGGAGGAGACTCCCAAAGCATTAATTGCATTAAATGTTTAAAATGCAGTAATAAACTTTTCAAGTCTTTTCCTAGAAAGTAAACATTGTCTACATTTATGCATACAGTCCCATGACAATTTATTAGTGCCACCAATATTTTTTTCATATTTTCTTATTCAAGTTGAATTTAACAATTGAAAAGTTATGTAATATATTTTAAATGTATTATTTATAAGAAGTCAATTATGTATAAAGTTAATTTCTTCAGATTTTTTTTTACTATTGGCATCCCTGACATTTTTGGAAGCCATCTTGTCACGACACTATTACTCAACTGTCATCTTTACAAGCACGTGATTGTTTTTCTCTGTCTATTTTATCGTTTTTTTTTTAGAATTCTGAAGAAGTAAGTGCAATATTTAGTTTTTATTTGTTTTACTAATATAATTTAAACTTGTAAATAAAGGTTTTCTAATATTATTATTACAGAAAGGTCGTTTTTGATAATGTTACAACTCTAACCTCAAAAATCTTGTACTTTTTAGTAATGGGTAAAAAAGGAGATCTTTCACCAACAAAAATTGGATTTATAAAAGCATTGATAAATGAAAAAACACTTTCACAGCGTGAAATTGCTAAAAAATGTGGTATTTCACATACCTCAGTACAGAGAGTTGTCAAAAAATTGGATATGGATGATAACTGTTCACCGAAAAGAAAAAGTAAATGTGGTAAAAAAATTTTGACTCCTCGTGGTGAAAGAACATTGTCAAAAGTAATAAAGGAGGATAGGACTGCTACTAATTCTTTCATAAAAAATAAATTACAAGACTCTGGAATTCAAATGTCCACCAGAACATTGCAGAGAAGACTCAATGATCTCGGTTATAATAGTAGACGGCCAGTAAAAAAGCCAAAGTTAACAATCAAAATGAAAGAAAATAGATTGAAATGGGCTCTGAAGTATAAAAACTTTACAGTAGAAGATTGGAAACAGGTTTGTGTTTAAATTATTTTAATATTTTTATATGAAAACACACATGGAAGGAGAAATTATAAAACAATATTTTATTTCAGGTTTGCTTTAGTGATGAGAGCACATTCCAAGTGATGACAAACAAAGCTCAGAATGTTCGCCGTAAAATATCGGAAAAATATCACGAAGACTGTGTTATAAAAACTGTGAAATATCCGACTTCTGTCATGATTTGGTCCGTGATAACCGGAAAAGGTTTGGGTCGACTCTACGTTGTAGAGGGCATTATGAGGCAAGACCAGTATCGAGATGTCTTGCAACATCGATTGTTACCACAATTAAGGGATTGGTTTGGTGAAATGGAGAAATTTATATTTATGCAAGATGGTGTTCCTTGCCATACTGCAAAATCTATAAAAAAGTTCCTCTCAGAAGAAAAAGATCCATTATTGGATTGGCCAGGTAACTCACCAGACGTCAATCCAATAGAAAATGTTTGGGAACTCCTGAAGAGAAAAATTTCAAAAGAAAATATCACAAACAAAGTTAATTTGATTGAAAAAATTATATATTATTGGAACCACGATATAAATTTAAAAGAAATGTCATTAAAATGTATTGAAAGCATGCCTTGACGCGTCCAAACAATTATTGATGCCAAAGGCGGGCTCACAAAATATTGATACAATGTGTGTCTATCATTAGGTTTATTAATTTTTGTCGTTATTTTATAGATTTATTTGGTTTTATTGTGTATATGAATGTTAATCAATTAAAAATAAAAAGTATTTGAATACATTTTAATTGTTTACTGCATTTTATAACCCCAAGAAATTATTAATGCAGAAAAAATGTAGGTGGCACTAATAAATTGTCATGGGACTGTAGATACCTTGTAGATGTCTGTTAACATAAAAATTAAGTGTTACTCTGCCTAAGGATGGTTATCAAATAATCGAATAACTTGTTGATAATTCTGAACTAAGTGCAAGTCTATAAGTGACAAAAATTCAAAAACATTTATTTCATAAAACAGATTAGACAGCTGGAGATTCTCACAACTTTTGTAACTTTCTGTCGAGAGATTGCTTTATACAAATTCTAAAATCTTTCTGATAATTTTTTTATTATAGTCATGTAAATATAACTTTAATATATATATTAACTTATTCATAGTTAAAGAATATGTGCAGCTAATGGTTGCCAAATAATACATATAAATATTATATGTATTGTGCGGCCGTGGCGCAATGGTTAGAGCGCTTGCTTTATAATCAGAAGGTCCAGGTTCGAAACGAGCTTTGGACATATTTTACGTCACGGGAAGGAAAGAGGCGTGAACTTTCTGGTTAAATGCACTTTCGCGGTGCTTTGTGACAAGACCGTTAGGACTTCTTGGGACACCTAAAATAACAAATAAATAAAAAAATAATATATATATATACATATATATATATATATATATATATATATATATATATATATATATATATATATATATATATATATATATATATATATATATATATATATATATATATATATATATATATATATATATATATATATATGTATTAGTGGTGTACACTGGATTTTTAGATGTTTAAGTTTTAACACTTACAGGCATTGTGCAAACTTCAAACTTTTGTATGTTGATGCTTATGTCAAATGAGAATGTTTTGCAAAGAGTTACGGTGATTGGAGCTTGGGGACAAAAAAAACCTAGTTTTTAAGCCCACCCACCCCTTAACGTGGAAGCAACAAGTTGATATTCTTGAAATTTCTTAAGTATTTTTATCTAAGTTTATATTCATCAACAAATTTCAAATTTCGTGCAATAAGCTCTTAGTGTTTAGTTTTTATGACCCTACAAAGTTTACTGCCCCCTTAAATATATATATATTTTTATGTACAAACATGTATATATATATGTATATATATATATATATATATATATATATATATATATATATATATATATATATATATATATATATATATATATATATATATATATATATATATATATATATATATATATATATATATATATATATTAGACTAAGTCTAGGTTTTAGACTAAGGGTAGGGATAGCTGCTGTTACAGCTAACCCTAATCCACGAAAAACATTTTTAAGTTTTATATCCATTGCTTTTGTAAAAACAACACTTTCAAAACAAAATAAATTTAAATTTTACTACAAATGTACAAAGATTTAAAAGTTTTTTTTAAAGAAAGCATTAAAGGAGAACAAAATCTGTTACTTTTTATTGTATAAACAGGTTTAAAACAGTTAACTAATATGGATTTTTTAGAACTGAGATTTTTTGTAACAGTAAACACAAGTCGAAAAAAAACTACTTCTGAAGAAGTTAATCTTGAAGGGCATCATCCATTATGAGAAACCGAAACTGAAGAATTTTTTTTAACGTAAAAAGTAAACTTATGGGTATAATATTGCGTCAATAATATTTAAAAAAACCAATTGGTATTTTAAAATACAAGATACAAATACAGTTTCGTTTTCACCCGATTTTAAGATTTTTTGTTGAGTTGTTATATGAAAAACCATGTTGCCCCGCTTTCCCCTATATATATATATATATATATATATATATATATATATATATATATATATATATATATATATATATATATATATATATATATATATACATATATTTAAACAATTTTTAAAAATATGTATTCTACAAAATAGAGCGCTCAATGTTCTTAAAAGAACAGAGCAATTATAAATTAGTAGAAAATCACTTAACAAAATTTTTTTTCATTTTACACTGTGTTTTATCAACAAAGACTCATCAGAAATCTTTTCAGAATCAGAAAGGATTTCTGATGAGTCTTTGTTGATGAAATAAAGTGTAAAATGAAAAAAAATGTTGTTAAGTGATTTTCTACTAATTTATATATATATATATATATATATATATATATATATATATATATATATATATATATATATATATATATATATATATATATATATATATATATATATATATATATATACATATATACATATATTCATAAATATATGTTTGTGTGTGTCTGTGAGTATATACTGTTTTTACAGAGTACTTATAAATTTTAAATCTTGTATAAAAAATATGTCAATAATATGTGTGTATTCATTCAATATTGTGTTGAATTAAATTTGTTGAAAGTACTGTTC